GGTCATTCGAGTGCTTTCACCTAACGCTTCGTCCCTCTCTCCGCTTCATTGGTTTTAGCTGGAGATACCAAACATGCTCTGCTATTCCGGATTTGCTGGTTTCACTTTGCTGTGTGTGATTCTTGTGCTCAGCAATGCGAACTTTCAATGGCCTCTTAGTTTCAATACTCAAATTTGAATAATAACGTGGAAGAAACACCTTTATTTTTCTATCACCGGAGTAATCTTGCGAAGTTGATTCCAAAAATGTAGAAACTGCGCAAAACATGATGCGTACAAACAAAAAACTCAAACAGTCCGAAATAGTCTCGGACACTCGGTTAGACCAGAACACATTTTGAGGAGACCACTGTGCCACCTATAGTATATATGAAGAGATGAAGACGAGAAAATACTGTTGATCATGCCCATGTTGTTATGTAGCGTATCCTTGTAGTCAGTTCAAATGTTATCTAGCCCCAATCATCATCTATTTAGATCAATTAAAAAAAAACATCCTTGAAAATAGCTCAAGCAAATTTCCACATGAATACGCATAAGCAGCGGGAACAGTTCTCAACAGTTCAGCCTCGAGAGTAAGAACGATTCGGAACGGAGAAATAGCACGCACTATCTGCTGACAGTCAAAGTTTTTTCATATGATGATTCAATGGAAAGCCCTGTTAGACAACGTAGTAGATATATACTATAACGAGCCAGCGACCCACAACATTCTTTTTTGTGGCTTTTTTGTGTGCTAGTGATAGACATGTTTCTGTCACCGGTCGTCAAGTGAAATTCCCTTGACAAACAAACAGCACCTTCAGTATGCTGGTTGTAGCTGGACAAGTGGACGATGCTACTACCCGTCGCCATCAGGCGACGGACAGCGCCGTGTCGTGTCGGGCAAGTGAGCGACAAGCTTTACACTGAATATGGAATTTGCAAGATACATGTAACAATCGTTGAGCTTCTTAAGCTTGTCGCTCACTTGTCCAGCACAGCACGGTGCTGTCCGTCGCCTGATGGCAACGGGCAGTAGCATCGCCCACTTGTCCAGCTACAACCAGCATACGGAAGGTGCTGTGTGTTCGATTTCAAGAAAATTTCAGTTAACTTCGAGCGGTGACAGAAACATGTCTAACACTAGCAGTTCTGACGAAGAAGTCGTCATTATAGTGGCCACATAATTGAATATAGAAGAAAATAGTCACAAAAAAGAAGGATATGGGTCCATCCCAATAATCAAAAGAGGGCAAATCTGGGAGAGTTACATCATCTTTTTAACGACCTGAAAGAAGACGAGGAGAAATTTTTCCAGTATTTCAGAATGACTCCAGGTAAGTTTTCAGAACTTCTGGATATTCTAGAGCCTGCCTTAACATTTGGAACCACTTCATTCAGAAGAGCAATATCGAAGGGAAAAAGACTAGCTGTAGCATTAAGGTACGTAAATAATATATAATTGTGATATTCGCCCTTTCCAAAATATTTGTGAATTCAACCGATTGTGCTTTGTGATCGGATAGGTGCAAATCTATAACTTCTGCTTTATCGACAACGAAATTTGTAAAAATATTATCAATACAGGAGTGACCTCTTGTCGGTTCTATAATATTCCTTTCCAACCCAAAAGCTGAGAAAATATCAATAACCTCACGACAAATAGTCGATTTCTCATTCTCATATTCTAGAGCCTGCCTTAACATTTGGAACCACTTCATTCAGAAGAGCAATATCGAAGGAAGAAAGACTAGCTGTAGCATTAAGGTACGTAAATAATATATAATCGTATATTTTTTAGTGTTTATTGGAGGGAATGTATTCAAATATCAAAATACAAAAATAAAAATCTATTCTTAGAAACTGAAGGTAATAAACTGAAAGACACACTATTTTCTATCACATACCATATAATATAAAATGGTTCTCTAGTTACATTGTTTACTTTGTATAGTTACCACTATTGTCAGAATCAGTCGAAGGTGATGGTATAGAAGTAAATATAGATGTAAATATTGAGGCTGCAGATATGGTGACTGATATAACTGGGGCTCTAATGGTGGTTGCGGCATAGTGGCTCGATTTTGTTGCTCATAGTGTGTGAATCGTTGTGATTGATTAGACAAATCAGCTTCCTGACGTGGAGGAGATGTCATTGGGCTGAAATTCAAATTTCGTGATTCCGCATCGATAACTATTTCAAATATTTTGGATTTGACTTCAATTTGCAGTTGTGGAGCGAACGTTTTCACTGTTTCAGCCATGCAATCAAAAAATTTTGTTATCGAGTCTGATGCTTCAGGTTGCTTTATTCTTTGCTTGTTTTTGTCGATTGAATAATTTTGTAGCACTGCTGCTGCAAATCAATTTTTTCTCGTCAATTTTTATAGGTACCGTCTGACACTGTGCTGTAAACTGATGGAAACAAAACAGATAGACAGAAACTTCCCAGGTTCGTTTGGACAAGTTGATGCTAGCAGGCGCTGGCCGGCGACGGGCTCACTTGGCCAAACCGTCACAACACGTTCCGTTATTTGCCGGTCAGGATCGGAGAGCTGGAATCCTTTCCGGCGACGGACGCTCGTCGCTGTGCCGTGCCGGGCTGGTCCATTCATTTCCATTGTTCCAATCCTATCCGTATTTTGACGGGACGTGCCGTGCTGTGCTGGGCTGGACAAGTGGGCGATAAGCTTTTTACACATGTAACAATCGCTGAGCTTCTTAAAATATCATCTGCTCACATTGATAGGTGCAGTCGAGCCAACATTTCAGTTTTTCACTATCGAAACCCCGCTTACGAATTGTGAACCGCTATTTTTTGGTAACGCCAACGTAAACCCCGTCGAGTCTATCGTGGACCCCTGGGGGTCCATCTGGACCACTTTGGTTATCGCTGATCTACATCAGCATTATCTTTTTTCTCTTGATAAAACCGTCCAACGTTATTTTTTTTACTTATTCCACTTATTGTTAAAAGAAGGCTGAAAATTTGCAACTTCAGAAGGCTGTGAATCTGGGAAAGAGTAATAACACCAACTTTTTCTTCCTGATTCGTAATTTGCATGTCAGAATGTGTAAGTGAACTCAATTGTTTTCAAAATTGGAGGACGCAGCCTATCCGAAATATCAATAATATTCAATACCATAAATGGGGTTTTTGTATTCGAACTGTCATTTTGTTTTTATAGTAAATTTTGCTCTAAAATTCTCAATATCTTTATTTCATGTCCAATACATATTTTTGTTTAAAGCAATAACCGTTATACATAAATGCATTTATGATTATAACCTAATCAGCAATAATTCCATCTGCTCTTCCGATATCTGCTGAAAATGGATGTTTTCTCCAAAGGGCTAGTCAAAACTTCTCTGCACTATTTCAAATAGCAACTCAATTACAGTTTGTACCACGAGAAACGAGAATTTATACCGACAACAATTCATCCGATACAAAAGTTATTCGTTATTCTCTTTTGTGAAAATTACTTTGTTCTAGATCATAATTTCAGCTGACATCGCGAAAAGGTGGCATCGCCCGAGAATCTGAAAGTCTTATAGAATTTTATATTTTAACCATTCAACTTCTGCGAAGCAAGGAACTTTAAAGTTATCCCAGGTTTCATAACGATATTGAACTTTTGTTTGTGAAACTTATGAACAGTTACGGAACTTTGAGCCACATTTTCTTACCCTAATGTTAGTCTATCGGATACCGAGCCCTTCACAACATTTTTTTGAAAAATAATGATCATGTTACACGGAATGATGTCCACCATTAACAAATTTATTTATTGACAGACAAAAGCAAGCAATCATACGATTCTGGAGAATCATCAACAAAAAAATTCCAACCAGAGCATCAAAGAACTACCAGAAAAACAAAAAAATAAGCTCATATCACATCATTCTCATTTGCAAATTCTATTTCATTTCATTCCTGAACTTATATCATAAATTTAGAAACAATTTACTTTAAAAACTCCCCAGATTTAGAATATTCCACCAAAATATCCGCAGCATTCATAAGAACATTGACGAACTGAAAATAATTTTGAATCAATAATTTCGTGGAATTTTGCTTGCGGTATGGGATACTGAGCTGGGGAGCGATTGCTCATAGTCATTTAAAAGAGGTATTGCAGAAACAAATCCTCAAAATTAAATATGACAAAAAATGTAGCTATTCTTCGGATCTTATTTTTAGAGAGTCAAATGTTATGGATGTAAGGTAACGACCATCTTGACAGAGTGATCTGGATAGAGTCTGCGGAGTTCGAAGAGAAAATCCTGATATTTTATCCGTTTTTCCTTCTCTTTTCGGACGATATTCGTCTCGCCAGAACTGAAAACTCCACGACAAATATCGTTTTTTAGACCGTGTGAAATGTGTAATGCCACGTCAACGATAGGTTTGTTTTCTTGGCACTCAAGTTATTCGCTATCTCTGCACGATCAAACATAATCAAAATTGAAAAAACGATAGGAATATTTCAAATCACATGGATATAGGCATGGATTCCGAGGGGAATATTCTCATTCTTTTGTGTACACCAAATTGTTGTCCCTCAGGAACAATAATATCTAATAGTCATTCAATTTTCATTCGTTGAAGAACTTTTCATTATTCCTTCAATTAATTACAGTATTCTCACATCATTTGAAAAAAACAATAATTTCTTAGTGATAACGTTGGAGGTACGACTTCCTCTATGTACAGGGTTGGCAACGCTGTATGCCAAAATTAAGGGAAGAAGAATATTAATAAACTTTTATATTCAACTCATCTGTGATATAAATTTGATTTATTGTTTCCTTGGTGATTGTGTTCTTGGTTTTTTATGTTCTTGGTTTTTGTGTTCTGAGTGATGATATTGTGGTAGAGGAGATATACAAATCTGGAATTTTGTATTTGACTTGTAAGAGTCAGTCATACCCACGTCTACGTCAAAATGATGAATTCAAGTCGGGATCAAAAGCCCAATCGCCATTCTGCCTCTGGCAGTCATCCTTATTCCTCTATGATGAATGCGCGAGAGAAACAAAAGTACATAGAAAGTTTCGCTTTTCCTCGTTGCGATTTAATAGAAAAATATGAAATAGTGACCAAAATTGGACAAGGAACTTTTGGGTAAATATTCCATCTTTTTAAAAAAAAATAAACGAGGTACCTAATATTTACTTTCCTAACAGTGAAGTTTTCAAGGCAAGAGATAAGAGTAATCCTAAAAAATTCGTGGCTATGAAGAAGGTTTTGATGGATGATGAAAAACAGGGAGTAAGTAAGAGACTTTATATTTTTCACGAATTTTTACCTCTATGTTTGTTTTCAGTTTCCAATTACAGCTCTTAGAGAAATACGGATACTGCAGTTATTGAAACACGAAAATGTAGTAAACCTGATCGAAACCTGCAGAACAAAGCCTTCCCAGCACAACAATTATCGTTCAACGTTTTATCTGGTTTTCGATTTTTGTGAGCATGATCTAGCAGGTTTGTTATCAAATGTTAACGTTAAATTCAGTTTGGGTGAGATCAAGAAAGTTATGCAGCAACTTCTGAATGGACTTTACTTCATTCATAATAACAACATTTTGCATAGAGATATGAAAGCTGCAAATATATTGATGACCAAGAATGGAGTTTTGAAACTTGCTGACTTTGGGCTAGCTAGACCATTCAGTTCTAACAAAAATGGAGTAGCAAATAGGTAAGGAAACGGTTTCATATTTTGAAATTTACTTTTAGTGCAGTCTATTGTTTGTGATAAAGACAACCAGGCTGTTGTACTAAATGTGCATAACTACGGCTGTTTTCAAAATATAAGTGATTTATTTATGGAAGATGAAATTTATATTCAGGTCATAAGTAATTTTATAGTAATTTTTCACTCCATTCCTAATTTTTTTGTTTTTCATTCAGCGGATGCATTTTACTGAGTTATTGTTAGACTACCCAACACATACACTACTTTTACCCGCTGGAAAATCGATTCAGATAGGTCATGTTTCAAAATTTCAAATCCTTTAATGGGATATATGGTTGTTCACGTCAGGCAGAAATAAGTTGTTTTGGATATCATGAAAAATAAGAAATGAAACTTTCTATGTTTTTTTCAATTACTTGTATTTGTAACTAATGTTACTACAGTTTCGTTCTATAAGAATATTTTCAAACGAATACAATCATGTTTATTGTATCCATTTCATTCGTTTATTGTGTTCACTTGGAAGTGTTCTTCACTACAGTTACGTTAGTAACAAATACAAGTGGTAAAAAACATAAAATGTTTTATTTCTCATTTTTCATGATGATCTCCACGTAGTAACGGCTACATCCATCAATTTGTATACGATATATTCTTCAAGTACGTGAAAAATCAATTCTAAATAAAAATCTGAAATATATTAGTTTAATATGTTCTACTTACATTTACTTTTCCAGGATTAAATCTAAAAATAAATTTTAGGTAACCCTTGGGAAAAGTCAAGGTATCCAGTTCAATTGTTTTCGGAGAATGGTTACCGAAAATAACTTAACATTCTGTGAATTTAAAGTGAACCGTTCTGAACAAATTATAATTTACCTACATTGGAATTCCACGAACAAATGAAGTTTATATTAATTTTGATATCCTGATCGTAGTCAGTAAGTTAATGTAATGATTTCAAATCATATGTTATCCACTGTTATATCCTTGAAATGATTGATTCTCAAGATTTCATTCCCTTGTTACACAACTAGTTCTTTATTTGTAAAAGTTGAACCCTTCCTCAATATCTTTATTGGTGAATGTTACAAGTTCGGACTTCCTTTGCCTGAAATGGTGTTAAGATTCGAAATCTATACAAAAACTCAAATGAAAATGAGTTTAATGTTAAAATTATCAAAATCGCTAAAAATATAACTGATATATTCGGTTAAGTTAGATAAACCAGAAGTGATAAAAAATAAATTCAGGTAAAGTGAACGGTAAACATTGTAAGAATTCTAATTTGTAACAATACAAATTACCTAACCTAACGCTGAGGCGTTCGCAGAATCTGTCTCAGGTGGGGGAACAAACCCCCCATGAGCAGGTTAGCAAACGTTTGCGCTTAAGTAATGATTCACTGAAACCAGAGGCGAAAAAGCCCTGCACGACTGAATCTAAGGCATCGTCAGGTGTAGCTGACTTGCAAAAACCCTCATATGGAAAGGTTGTCGTGGGTATCAAGGTGAGAATCTTGCAACTTCCTCATCTTGCGACTACCTCTTTAACAGAGCACATACTTTGTGCCTGCCCCGCTGGGGACCGAATCAAGTGTTGGGTACGGCAGAGCCGTATACTCACCATACAAACTGATCGGCTTCGTTAAGAAGCTGGAATTATTTGGTCGAGTGTGAATAGGTGTGAGCCACAATGAACCCTTGCGGGTTGCGGTGGAGGGTCCAATAGACCCACTCACTTTGGACCTAACCTCACCTAACCTACCATTGAAATTTTTTGATATTGGGTTGAACTATAAACCACAATTGTTTTCGATAATAACTGAACTATTCACGACAATGCATACTATCTAAATCTAAATGTCACTTGGGCAATTTCACCATTATACTGTGTAGAATATGTTTCAGATAATGTCAGCAAAATTCACAAAACTGCGTATGCCATAAGTACAAAGTGTGATGATCACCTGTTTGTAATATGTGAATAATAATGATTTTTCTGGAGTTGAGGCTCGAAAAAAGTAGTCTCAAAAATAAATAAAATCACTAATCCAAACAATACATAATTTTCCATCACCCTCACAACCCACATCTATGAATCACTTCATAACACACATTTCAGGTACACAAATCGGGTTGTTACTTTATGGTATCGACCGCCAGAACTTCTTCTTGGAGAGCGTAATTATGGTCCGCCAGTTGATTTGTGGGGTGCCGGTTGTATCATGGCTGAACTGTGGACACGTATTCCAATAATGCAAGGAAATAGTGAGCAGCATCAGCTTACTCTGATATCTCAACTTTGTGGTTCAATAACTACACAAGTATGGCCTGGAGTGGAAAATTTGGATCTGTTTAAGAAAATGACGTTGCCTCGGGAGCAAAAGAGGAAAGTAAGTATATTCGATATTTTTTCTTTTTTATCGCTTTCTATTCATTTCACATAGTTCGTTTTCATTTGAAAGGAAAGAAAAGGACATAAAAAAAGAGAAGAAGAAGAAGATTTCATTTATATTTGAAAGTAGCATCATTTCTGTCTCATGTAATGTGAAAGATATTTTATAATTATTCAATATTACATCAGCAATAGCTGATGACTAATTTGGAAAAGTAATTTTCGTTAATCCTAATCTCTTTGTAATAAACACACTTGATGGTTGAGTGCAAAAAAAACTAAAATAGGGGTGAAGTTGTATCATGCCAGCAAGTAATGGTCATTTAT